TGAATTTTGTTGTCAATCATCCTTTCAAGTTTACATTTTTGTTTACACCATTAGTCAAACACCAAAACAGATGGTCACTATACAATTGTGTTTACATCCATACGAAAATAGGGGTATTGTTACAGTTGGTTGTTAGAAAAACTAATTACAAAGGTGTGTTCAGGGTTTGCTTAGAAAATTACAAGTCAGTGATAAGTTAATTAATGATTATCACTTAAAAAATATATAATTTTCAACACAACTCAGAGCAATAAAAGATTGTAAATTAATTCAAACATATCATGGATGTTGAAGTAACGAAGTGACACTCGTTGCTAGTTGAGCATTAACAGCAAAATATTACTGATTTGAAATTATTGGACAAGACTACTTTTGAACAGGTTGGCCTCTTTTAGTGAATTTATAACAAACGTACATCGCTGCCCTAAATCCAAAGTCTATTGCGCTACCAACTGACTCACCAATAAACTACCAGGGTAAATTTCACAATGCTTCCAAGAACCAATAAAATCATGAAATAAATCGAAGGTTCAGAGTGGTGTCTTTTTATACTACTATCCACCACCTCCACCACCCAACTCTCAAACTATAATAAAACTTACTTCTTGGTCATAATCCAAAAACACATGCTCTTTCAAAGGTTGCACATACAACCGCAAAAACTGTAGCCAAGAGTCGTGTAAACCAACTTGTTTCATATGGATATCCCTTGTGGGAACATTCTCGTAACCCCCTTCAATTCTGTCATCCTATAGTGAGGAGGAGAGAAGGGGAGAAAGAAGGAAGAAAAGAGGAAACAGACAGATATTAGAGATTAGTCGTGCATATTAGAGACACACAGCATGCATAACACAGATAAATACATCGTGGATGTAGCCCAGGAAGACGTGTTCCTGCAGAGGCCGAACGTAAACTCGTAGAAACTCCATCCACGTCTGCTCGTAGCCGACCTGGTTCATGTGAATGTCTCTCGTTGGAACATTTTCATATCCTCCAATCAGACGATTGTCCTTGACAACAATCAGGTTGTTACTAATGCACTGTTGATGAAATATTAAGCAAAACAACACAACCAACAACTAAGTAAAACATGTTTTAGTTGAAACTTTAACACTCAATCTTTGGTAGTAACTAGTAAACAAAATTTATTTGAGTTTTATGTGAACAAATTTGTTTAACTGTCCAGACACATTTTTTGGATGACGAAAGAACTGTGTAGATAGAAAAGATAAAACAAAAAAATGAGTTCTAACTTTTGCGATGTAAAAAATGTGTCAACAGTTAATATAAGTAAACAACTATTTTTTCAAAGGAAATTTAGTTGCCCTTTGAATGATTTTTGACAGTTATAATACATTTTAAGTTGTAATATGGTTTTTAAGACAGTTATTTTTTAAAACTTAAGTTATAATCATGATGCAAACATTGCCCAACATTTTTTATACAATTCAATAACATTACCAGTCTTAAAATAAATAGAAAAACTGATGAAATATACAAACATAACCTATTCAGAATAATGCTACAAATTACATGATTTGCCAATAACAACTGTTTCAGAATGTATCAGCAAAAATTACTTACAGTGTTTGTACCGTTGGACCATTGGCCAAAGTTTTCCATGATTTCAATCAGGTTTTGTGTGAATTCTGGAGTTGTTACCGGGAACCAGTAAACATCTGGGCATGGCTGTAAGAACATTTTTTTTTTACAAAATGTGCACAAATATCTACTAGTCTACAACTAAATAGTTAATCATGAATTACATTTTAACAACTAAAGATTGATACTTGGCTTTTTCAAGTTGGGGGGCTGTTTAAACAAATAATATTTGTTTATTTCTTTTCCCTTTATGGACATGCCTAATCTTGAAACCTGGCACCAAAGATGGAATGTGTAATGCTGATAATATTTACAAAAATTAAATGTGGAGTAGGGTTGAAAATTATATCCTACTTTTTTTGTATTTGCAGAGTTTTAGCACTAAACTGATTGTGATTGCGATTGGTCACTAAAAACATTCTTCAAGCATTTGTGACTAAAATAAAAATTGTATCCTTAAATGAAACTTACTAAACCATGCTTAGAAAATGTAAATGTGAATTTGAATTATGTGCATAGATGAAACCTTCTGCAATGAATGGCTAAACTACAATAAGCCAAGTATGGGCTAGTGAAGTAATTATTTAATAAGTAGTTGATCGTCCAGTCTTCTAGTGGGTAGTGTCAAACTTTGTCCTAGAGAAAAGTGTCAACATCGTAATTAGGCCTACCTACATAAGTAGGCGTAATCTTTAAAAACATTTTTAAAGTAGGTAATGCCATAACCCCGTGAGATTTAAGCTGCAGGTCCATTTATCTTGGAAAACTATAGGTTTTACAGGAAAAAAGAACTTTCTATAAATTGGAAAACTTCCACCACGACAAGCCATATGACTAACTTAACCTATAAGGTGTTAAGCATGGCCCTACCTGTTCTAAGGCTTTTTCCGGGTTGAAGTTTTCTGGGTACTCGGGACTAATGTAGCGCCGCTCCCATTCCATCTTGTTGAAGAGCAATTCATACATATCCGGGTGGACGAGACGGGTGTCGAAGAACTCTGGGTTTATCAGATGGCCGTAATCTTCCAGGTTGCTCACATACATAAACACCCCCTGTAAACATAAACATGAGAAATTTAGTAAAAGATTGTTCAAAAATTTCCGAACCAGTTGGTCAAAACTAAGTTGTAAGGAATATATAAATAATAAAGTATGATTTTAAAATAAAAGTTTACAAAATTGTATTTCAAAGAAATCAAAACTTATTTTTATTAGTCTTAAAACCCCGCGAGATTTAAGACTTACTTTCAATAGAAATGTAAACAATATTAATCTTACAAACATAATCTAGCACAGTTACATAAGTTTTTGTTTTGATACAACACAATCTAAGGGTTTTGTATGGTATTTGTTTCCAAATAACATTCTTTTAAATTAACCTTCATTGTGAACAAAGGTAATCAGCCAGCAATGAAATACAATTTATTTCACAGTGAAACTTTGCAATCTACATGAAATTTGCTTTAATAATACAATCGAACAGTGAACAAAATGTGGCATTAAAGGTGTCAACTCTACCATACTTAACAATCTGGCCCCAACCCCAAATTTGAAGTGTTTTACAAGCTCAGATATACATACAGTGTACAAAGAATGTAAAGTATGTTGGATGGTATACTCACAGTTTCCCTGTAGCGGTAGCAGAATGACATATCAGGATCCAGCTCACTTGACTCATACTGGGGTTTAGCTTTGCGTAGAACCGTTGAGTTGATCAGATAAGCTGTCGAGATGTACGGGACATTCCACACACCTCTGTAACAGTCAAAGATTACAAATATAGCAATGATTTATGCGAAAAATTTCTAGTAAAATACAACAAAATTAAAACCGACATTATTAATTTTTTGCTGGTATTCATTTTTGGGAGTGGAATCCTTTTTACTGTTTTTAAAACTTGCCAGGTAATTTTTTTTCAGAAAACATACAGTTATGGTCAATACAAAACATTGAATTTTGTATTAAAACAAAGTTAGCTAGCGAATTTGGCAATTCTCCAACAAGGGTAACAACGATGTTATTTTGTATTCATATTATCAACTTTTTTTAAAGGCAGCAAAAATTTAGTCCAAATAAATTTGCAAAATTTGTTTTTTAAAGAAAAAATCTATTTTTCTCTCCTAAAGTAATAAATACCTACATATAGCCTAGAATATTTGTTTCAAGTTATTAACCCTAAAATTATTTTGATGAAATTTTAAGGACAAGCTGGTAGTCAAGTTGAGGTAGGTTAACATAAAAATCTCCGTGGTTTGGAATTTGAAGTTAATTTTTAGTGCAAGTGGGTTTATGTTAATGTTAAGTTAATGTTAAAGTTTACATTGAGAAAACTTTGTTTACTAATGGTGATAAAAAATATTCAAAATAATGTCTTAGATAAAAATATTATAAAAACAATTCAAAGTATTTTCTATGACTAATATTTGAAAGACTAGTTTCATAGTGTTACAGTATCTGGAAATTCATCCTTATTCACAATGCCTACAATCCTTTAAACAAGATTAACTTGTCAACAAAAATCAACTTAATCAAAGAAATAACCAATCCCATCCACAAGTTATGAATGCTAAATCTTGTATCCAATGTTGAACTAGTGATTTGAGTAGCTAGTGTGCGAAGTAGCACTTTGCTACACACGAGAGAAATGTTTACGGACAAGCAGCAGGCGAGTGTGGAAAGTTTCTCGAGTGCAGCAAAGGCATTTGCACTTGCGTTACACATTATATTTTTCCTACAGTTACTATAAAGCATATTAAATAATTAATCTTTCAAACACTATAGAACAGGTTTTTAGGTTAGGTTAAATCCAAGCGTTGAACGAAATGGAAAACGCTGCACCATCTGATTGTAGTCGTAGTATCTTGTTGCCAACTTATTTTCAAGCGTATAAGTATTACGTGCCTAATAAAAGCACAATGTTTCGTGTTGTTTGGTTGGAATACTGGAGTGCGGTAAAAAAATTAGTGCGGAAAAAGTAAGTAAATGCATCAATTAGCTACTTGGCGTGCTATAATCAGGGCAAGGAAGTCCAATTTTTTAGGTAACTGTAGGAAAAATATTTAGAAATCTCCATCTTTAGGTTGGAGTCTTTAGACAGACAACTTTAATGAAAAAGAATATATTTCTGAAGTACGTTAAACAACCATTTCCTCCTTTTTACTGGATATGCAAGAGGTCAAGTCAAAAACCGTACAAGACTTCCTTGACCTTAACCTACAGAACACTTGGGACAACTTGAGAGGCAAAGTGGGACGGCAATCAACATAAGAATATAGAGAGCAGGGCTGCGATAAATCTAAGGGGAGTTGACAATTCGACAGTTGTTGACCCATTATGACCTTGTTAGATCAGATTAAACAATGAAGGGGACGGCGGCAACATCAGAGTGGAGTAACACCTCATTGGCACATCCTTCGTCGAGCAACGTGCTTCACGTCACATCACGCCAATATTGGCACAAATTATACTGTGATCCCCCATTCAGTGAGTGTGCTGCTGTAGGATTTACCAACTATCAGCACTACTTACATAAGGTGAGAATTAGTGAGATTAGAAAAGCTTAATCTTTCCCATTTGTGAGATACTAAGATGTCCAAGAGGAAAAAAAATTTAATACTTTCTCACAACGATCTCAGCCTCTTGACTGTAGTGTTAGAAATAAGTATAGAGAAAGAAATTTAAACTTATAATTGTTCAGGATTTTAAAAAGTCTTTTGATTCCAGATATTTAGTTTATTCACGTTGTGTAGGAGATATCTGTGCATTAATTTTTGTATTGTTTTGTTTACTTACGGTGCTACTATTCTAGAACACGCAAAATACCTTACCTGGGATTTATTTAGTAGTCTATTAATAATGATTTTGAATTCATGGTATTGTTCAATTAAACCTTAAGCCTTGTATAGGTATTTGAATCACGGTTTGTGTTTCGATTAACACTGTATTTGACAAATGGAACACGCCAGCAAAGGAGTTTATTGTTCATTATCTTGTCCATCTGATTACATCTACGTTTGGAATTATTGGGTACTGTTTTGTGATATTTTGGAGAAGGGTTCAGCTCAGGGGCGGCTCCAGGAATAATTTTTTGGGTACGCCTGACAAATTTCTTTATTTATTTATAAATTTAAATATCCACCTATATGTTGGGCAGTGGGCCTACCTGGCCTGCCCTCTGGAGCCGCCCCTGTTTCAGCTAAGAAAGTAAGAGTTCAGGGACTAATAGATAGATACACAGTAAAAATACACAAAACGTAACCCTCATACTTTGTTCTAATATAAAACTTCTTCATAAAAGTAGGTAAAAGAGAAGTAAATCTGAACTTCTTGTTAACCTTCTCTCTGAAGAGGTCCTGTATTAGGAAAAAATATCAGCGTTTCATGTTGTGAGTTTGTTGGGTCACATATTAGCCCTTAGCTCTAAGCTTTTTCAGGTAAACTAGCTGAACTCTATATCCCTCTCCAAAAACATAATCAGTAATTTTGCTTTCCTTTAAAATGTGTACTGTATTTGATCATATTAATATTTAAAGAACATTGTTCATTGCAGGATGGTGAAGGTGCACATTTGTATGGTGGTGTTTGTAGTGGCGGTGGCAGTGTCAGAGGCAGCTAGAGGCGGGGGAGGGGGTAGAGGTGGGGGGAGGGGCAAGGGAGGTAGACGGGGCCAGTATGGTAGTCGGATGCCAATTCAAATACAGCACAGAAATCCAGCCAGTGCCAGTTACTATGAGAATAAAGACGTGAGTAAATACACAACTTCTTTGTGATATGCTTCCACAGTCGATGCCTAAAAGCTTTCAATCCTAACTTTGGGTGATGACTGTGTAGATGAAGACGACGATGACGTAGTTATAACAAAACCCAGGTCAACCCTCTCTTCCCAGAGAATCAATGGAAGGCTTGAGCAGCCCACCCCTGTGCATGTACCTACAACAGAGGATTTCCCGGGCTGTGAAGAAATGTTAGTGCTATGAAAGTGGACATATGCATCACATCCGAAACGTTGGCAACTAAGACGTTGTTGTCTTCATCTACGTGGTCGTCACCCAAAGACCAGGATTTACCACTCTTACTATATATCTGGTAAGGATCTTAGTTACATAAATTTAAATTCTGTATACTTAAAGCAACCAAACCATAATGTAGTATCAACTGATACGGTGAAAAATTTCATGGTTTGAATTACTGTTAGTTATTAATGATACATCTAGATGCTTTAGAAATCATACGAGGTTCGACAAATGGTTTACCTGTTTATCCAACATGGTAGACCAGTGGTAACGGACCATGGTAGACCACCATACTTGGACAGTTTTATTGGTGTATTGGCTAATTAAAATTAAAATAATAAAATATATCGTATAAGAAGAAGAAGCAACATTTTGTCAAAATCAATTGATTGGTTTCAGGGAGCCAGGATAGTTAAGTCCTCACACTTTGAGTTGGACTACATGTTGGGACGTAAGATAACCTTCTTCTGCATGGCACAAGGTCTACCAAGACCTCATATTACATGGTTCAAAGACGGAATTGAGCTTTACGCACACAAGTTCTTCCAGGTAACATGTTTGACATTGTACATTATATTGATACTGAAGTGTTGTTATATCACTTGCACTCAGCATTATAAGAAAAAAATATGTACAGTATCCATCTATCTATCTTATATCTGTATATATAATACGTGAAGCCGTTTTTTGTTAACGCAACTCCTCCCTTATTTGTGGATCAATTTCAACTTTTCAGGGTGCCTAAAGATTCGTCTCAATATGTAGTTTTGCAATAAGGTTTTAGAATTTTAAAATTCCTACTCTTAAGGGCATGGGACCCTCTCATAAGTCGGGTTTTCCCCTATAAGAAATACATAGAACAAATTTAAAAACAAAAACAGCTGTTTATAAAAAGAAACTCATTAGCTTTTTGGGAGTAAATATTGATGTTTGTAATTCGGTAGGTTAAGACCAAGTTAAACAGTTAATCAGTTTGTTGAAAGAACAGAAAATGCCTCAAGTTCAAAGAAGAAATATTGAAAATGGGAGGAGGAGACAATTAATAATAAGATATCTTTTGTGCTTGAGGAGAGTAGAAAAAGAGAGGTCTGGTCTAACAGATACACATTCACTTGGTGAGATGAATCATATTTGCAGTTCTGCTATGCAACTTACTTTGGAAGTGTAAAAATATACGAAGCACATAGTGTTGTCACGGTGGTAAAGTAAACTTGCCTAATTTTCGATCAAATGAATGCATGTATGAAACTATAATAATGCCTTGACATAATTACTATAATTAAGTAGTAAAATTATACCAAATCTTGGCGTACCTTATGTTTTTATGTAAACTTTTGTATTACTCGCTCTACAAATTAATTGAGAAAAAACGCAAATGGATTGTTTACTTCTAGGTTACGTTGCCAGTTCCTTGGACAAACTTACACAACGTTTTTTGATTGAACTCACCATCACAATGCAGACATTTCAAGTAAAAAAAGTTTCAAAAACTAATTTGCTATTTAAAGTTTTAGCGGCAATATTAGATATACCGAACTAATTAAAGGAATTTGTGGTTACGTATTTAACGATCGAGTAGTTACGGTCAAGTTTATTTTTATGATTCAGAAGAGGCAAATAATATGTGCTGTTCAAAAAGAGAAAATGAAAATTGCTATCCAAATCTTCGACATATAAAACCATACTTTCAAAACTTTAGGACAGGTTTAAGAGAAACTCCACTGAACAGTGTGATAACGTTCTGATGCGGGGCATATACTGTGACTGACTGACAACATGTTAAAATCTGTTAACCCACTTTCAATGGTGTTGCTGCTTTAGCCATTCAAAGTGTGAAAATAAAAATTTGCAAATAATGAAAACAAAGTCACCTGGAGATACCCACATAGCAAATGTCATAAAAATTGGACATCATTGTGTATCTGTAGCTCAGGCTCAGAGGAAACCAAAATAGATATTTCCACCCAAAACTCAAACGCAAAATCTTTTGAAAAAGCAATACTTTCTCCATATACCATGTATAGAATAAGCCAGTAAAATCTTAAATTGTATAATGATCTTTCTTCTTTGAATATCGTTTTTGACCGTTTAAGCACCAAGACCTGAATCACATTCAGAGATCTCCTGACTTATACGTTTTTTACAAAATGCTTGGTAACAATAATGACTATAGCCTGTGAGATCAGATAATAGTATATGACCCAGTGGTTTTGAACCCAACTTAAGCTATGTTTCGATCTTTGTCATTTATAAGGTTAGGAAAACATTCTTCTTATTTAAGAACCCCCGGTACTCACATCTTAGGACGCTAGGCCACTTGAGGCCCTGCGCTAAATATCATACAATAATTGATCAATATTCAAATTATACAGTTTACGATTCATTATTTTAAAATGTTTCAATCCATCTTCTTGGATCCTTAAAACTATTACAAAATATTAGTTGTAATGATCAGCTCTTTTTTAAAAGGTGGGCGATTTTTAAAATCCTGCAGTCGTCTCTGATAGCTTTGAACCTGTGTGTAAAACCTATCAAGGAAAGTAAAGAATCAGGGACATCATGTTAAGCACTGAAGAATAGAAGAAGGCACTGGGATGAAAACCTACATCGCAGTTGAAGTTCCAAAACCTATCTCGTTGCAAACTAAACGACCACTTCTACACATTTTATAAACTGTATACATATTCACAATATCTTCAAAAATATTGTTACAGGTTCATGAGTGGCCAATCGGAGAAGACACGATGAAGTCCAAGATGGAGATTGACCCTACAACACAAAAGGACGCAGGATACTATGAGTGCCAAGCTGACAACCAATACTCCATTGACAGAAGAGGATTCCGCACAGACTACGTTATTTACACATACTAAACCTCCCCCCTGACGATTACATACCAAACTTGTATGTTGTTATTGTTACTATTTGGACAGATAATAAATAATACGCTACAATTTTTTTTAAAACTAATATTTATCCGTCAGCGTGAATATGACATAGTTATTCTGTTTTACAATGTAAAAATGAACGTTGGTATAGCAAAATAACATTGTATTTTAATTTTAAGATTAGAAAATTAAGTTAACAAAACATAGAGATAATAATTACTGACTACAATCAGTTTAAACAATAATTAAACTGTTGAATTATAATGTTCTTTAGAATACATAATGTTACGCATAAATCGTAAATCAAAGAGACTGAATAGTTTGATAAGTTATGTACGAGTATTGTAATAAATCAAAATTCAACCTAAAACAACCGTGAAAGTTTGGTATGCATTATGATAATGGTTTTGATAATTGTACATAGGTTAAATACAATTTTTATAGTATGTTACGAGTTTTATTTACAAGCCCCTTTTATCCTTAAAGGTATTTAAGGTAAAATGATGTTGACAGTTTTTATTAGGAAAGCAGGTTTTCATTCAGAGGGACTCAGATAATGTATGATAATTTAGTTAGAAAATGTTGTTTACAAACCATTACAAATATATTTCTTTGCTTAGTGGAATTGCTTGCTACGGAGTAAAACTGTATCATGGGCATGTTTTTTTTATTCAAAACAATATATTAAATTTGAAAAAGTTAAAGCACAAAGCCATTGCTTAATATTGCAAATATTTGTATGGAATCATATTTTAAAAGCAAAGAAAGCCAGTTAGAACTGGTTGATGAAGTTAATTAGAAGATTTGTGAAAACTGCCTTTTCACAATAATGGACCTTACTCTTTGTTTCCTACAGGTTTCACAGACTTTGTTTTTTACTATTTCAAACAAAACAAAACTAGGCTACAAAAATTTTTTTATATGAGATGGGTGCCAAAAATACTTGGACCATCATAATATGGCAGCTATGGCATTTTTGGACTCCTACGATCAAGATGGTGATTCATTATTGGGGCATTCGCTGACCGAACTTTCACTCATTACATCGCTTATTTACACATCACATATTGAATTTTGTGACATTGAACAGCACAATGACATTTCTAAAGTAAAGTGTCTGTAATAACGATAATGTTGTAAATTCACTGAAGAAAAAAACACATCTGTTCTTAAAACAGTGCAATTGGTACACGTCTGGCAGCGTCAGAAGAAAACGTTCCTTACTTTTTGAACAGTCTTTGTGTTGTCGGTACACCTACTGATCACATTAATCCAACTCCCAACAGTAATGCAACATCATGAAAAATTCATAACAAACTGTTGTCAAACACATTTTTACGATAACTATAAAAGAAAACGCACAAACACATCCTCTAAAATAAATGAAAGTCTTTATACAAACACATTTCAAAAATTTTTTTCCCAATACATTATGTAGGATAGATTATAGTGTCTCAGTTTGGATATAAAATTGTAGCCTTATTCCGTTTGGAACATTAGATGATCTGTAATGTGAACTACCAAAGGACAATGTTTTAAGCTGCAAATATTGTTACTCAGTTAAACATAGACGTTAACTCTTTGTGTACTTATTTAAAGCACAATATGAATGCAGGGTGAGTGGGATGACTTATGTAGCTTTGATAGCAAGTACCACTTATTATAACTAAAAGCCCAAAAAGCAAGAAGACGGATTGTGTTTTTCTAAAGATCAAACCTGTGACCTTTATACTAGAGTAGATCACTGAGTTGGCACATTTGATACTTCAGAAAGACGGATTACCAAAAATACCAGGTAATCCAAAAAGAGTTTATTAAAAAGTTAAAGGAAATACTACTAACATTTAGTAAAAAATTGTAGGTGTATAAGAGAAAAGACTCGCAAACTTTACACTCTATCGTATCTTGGCGGTCCAGATTTATGGGTGAACACATAAATTTTACGGGAACCCATACATTTTGATTTTACGAAAGTTCCAGAAAACCCTACACTGATGTTATTTATACACCTGATGGCAAAATACAGAGCTCTGTAGCATCAGTAGTTAAAGAGTTTTTTACCCATTTGTACCTTGCGATATTTGCAGAAATTAAAACCAAAACAAGAAAGTCATGCATATCTGGGGCCCTATTTTTGAAATGGTTGACTGTTGAGTTGAGTGTCGAGTCATTCTATTTCCAATCGTTTCGTATTTTTGAAACGATTGACGGTGGACTTATACAACCAAAACTACTCAACACCTATCGAGCTGTTGAGTGGAGGTTGACTGCATTTTCTTCTTCCTCTCTTTCGACAAAAATTACTCTTTTTGAGTCGACGCCATATTGTTTTGTTATTGCTTTAATTTACTAATTGTGATTTAGAGGTTATGTATTTGTTGTCAATGTCTTAGCACCCAATACTTTATGCGGTTAATTTGATTTACTGTGTCAATACTAGACTATTTAATCTATTTACTTTGTTATAAGACTATTTAATTTGTTTGAAATACACTAGGCATACTAATTGAACTTATTAAAAGATAATTATTGTTATTAGACCTATGATTTAAGGTAGATTGTGGTAGAGAGAAACAATATCATAGTTTGTTTCAATACCATTCACCTAATAAAGGGATCAAATTAATTTAAGTTACGATAAGCTTTCAGTGCAATGGCAAATAGCCATAAGCTTTAACCTAAATAAAAACACAATTAAAAATAACATGAAACAAAACGATGAAGAAAACTAAAATAAGGTGATGTGTTCTGAAATATATACGAAGAAAGCAAATAATAAATTAATATTGTATTTAGGATATGCCTAAACTTATAATGTGCTACACCATAAAACAAACAAACATCCATAGTAAATTTTATTGTTAATACTTATAAGTTAATATAAGGTACTTTTGCAATCACTAAGATTAAGCAAGACATAACCTCAATCTCTCAAGAACGGAGTTGACAGTTTACCTCAGTAGTATGAGTATCTCGAAATATGGTAGATTGAGATTAGCTGATCCAGATTTTAGAGTAAGAGGTAAAATCGAAGATCACAAAAACTCTGCATTGTGATTGGTTTAAAATGACGTCATCTGAATTTCGGGCGGTCGTATGCTCTACATTTCCAAAACGAGTCACTCAACTAGTGATTTCCAACTCACTTCCAAACTGTTGGATTTCAAAAATACCAAATCCTGTTGTTGGTTGAGTCGAGTGTTGACTGTAGAGTCAACTGTCAACCATTTCAAAAATAGGGCCCCTGATGAGAGCATTACCTTGCAGCTTTGCCAGTCATATCAGTCAGTCCCACAACTATGATTTCTTTGTAAAAAGTAAGTAATGTTTTTTTCATTTAATATATGCTCTTAATAGTGTTGTAAATGTGGTATCTACCTAAACATGAGTAATTGAAGGAAAAAGTACTATAACAAGTCTCAGTTTTAACGTTTGGCCCTGTTACACAGTAACTTGGCATCATGTTGGCACCCTTGCAGTCCACAATATGCAGAGTTTGTTAAACCATACCGTAGTAGGTATCAGGAAATTTTTCCAACTACATCCAACCTCAGCCGATTAACCAATAATCTTGCCAAAGGTGCTCTACAACATTTTTCACGATAAAAAAAAACTCCTTAGACAACCATATTATTAGATGACGGATTAGTGGGGTTATATTGTACGGTGCGACTCACACACCAGTCAGGGGAGATTGCCAAAGAAACCATCTGTCACCCACTATGGTCATACGCTCTAAACCAGCTGTGTTATTGTTTATGACCGCAGAACCCACAATTTACCACCAGGAAGCTCTCCATTACCGAGGGGAGATCAATTGCCAGAACCCTCCGCGGTCCCATCGTCCAAACTACAATTAGCTGACGACTCTTCATCGGGAACTGTCCTTTCTCTAGGTAAGTACTGCCGGGACTAATTGACTGATAGCTAAGCAATTAGCCTACAGAGATTTGTAAATTTGGGTTTTTTTTAATGTTTGATATAGTGTTCATGTTTAAGAAGTGAAGATTGTCAAGACAAATTTAGGATACAAAAACACTTAAATCGAGGCTTATAAAACTAAATTATTATTATTAAGTTTAAAAAATGTCTTTTATGTTTTAAATGTAAAAAGTTACTAATGATTTAATTTTTTTCATTAAATAAAAACAAATTATTTCCACAATCCCGTTTTGAAAAATCGAAACATCTTCAATACCTTGAAGATTCCAGGTACAATTTTAGATTGATACCTATTCATGTTGGAAAGGATTTCAGAAAACATTTAAGGCCATTCATCGATTAAATGTTCCAGCAGTATTGCTCAAATGTTTGATTCAAACTCCATTAATGAAAGTTGTAAAATCACTTTTGTTTTACTGTTACCACAAAAAAGCCAATTTGATAGCACAGTATCCATTAAGTAATTTCCATTTTCCAAACCAAACTATTTAACGTCACTGCTACACTATCTCCTAGCCACTGATGCAATATACGATGCATTTTGTTAAACTGCTGAAGTTGTAATCACTTTAAGTGGTGATCTTGCACTTGAGCTCCCCAATTATTCAATATCTGCCTCGTAATACTTAAGTTAAAGTTACTAAAACGGATACAATCTAATTTTTCTTTAGAACTATGTTGCAAAACGTAAACAAAAATTTACCAGAATTAAATTATACTACCAAAAATATGATCTAGAAAATGAGACCCTAAATGAAAACGATCTTGATAACAAGACAATCTTACAAATTAAGATGAGCTCCAACCAAAATTCTACATAGCAACATAAACATGTTTGGCAACTAACACGGATCAGTATTAGAAATTACTTTGCCGCATTGTCCTTGGAAAGGTAGTGGGGGAAGGTAGATGGCATGACATGTCATTCGCTCGCGGATTCACTTATTTCGGCGCGCTTTTATAAATGTGCAGACTCTGAAGCCGAGGCGCGTGTACTGGAGGGTTAAGATAAAGTTGTAACTATTTTAACGGTTACCATGAATGTAATGAGCGAGATGGGGTATTTACATAGTTTGTCATGCTGCCAGGTGGTGGAAGTATGAAAATGTTGGGTGTGGTGTTGCTGCTGTGTGTGGCCGGTGTCCTGGAGCCAGTGGTCGCCAGGAGAGGACGATCTAGAAGTCGGACCAAGTCCAGAGTACAGATTGGCCTTCCCATTACCGGAAAATACCGAGACCCGGAGAGCGACCAGTATTACAACAACAACAACGTAAGTTAGGCCTACACCTGAGACTTTCAGCCTTCTTGTACCTCACCTTAATAACAGCTCCAATTTATTTATGATTGTTAACCTCTTAAAATTTTAATGTTAATTCAAAAAGTAAAAAATATGTTGGAAAAACCAATGGATGACAATTCTAACTTATGTAAATTTAATCAGATTTTTAATTTTGCCATAGTTAGTTAAATATTAATTGACAAAAGCTCATTTATACGCAATTATAAATATTTAGAGCAATAACCCTAATGTTAGACGTTGAACACATATTAACTTTAAATATTTTGAAATTGTACATTTTATTTCTATTAAAACGGTGTGAACAGGTTTTAATACTTTCTTACGCTGGGTTTTCTAAATCGTTAATCGATTCCATATTTTTTCGGTCTTGCAGGGCGCAAAGATTCTACAAGCGTCGCACTTTGATTATGAATACGTGTTGGGCCACAAGATAGCGTTTTTGTGTGTCGCCAAAGGGAATCCACGTCCTCACATCACATGGTTCAAGGATGGAATAGAGCTCTACTCTCATCTATATCTCCATGTAAGTCGCACCTACATCCTATGATAACTTCAATTGGCAAACAAATCTACTACATCCGTCGGTATAGTAGTTTTTATTTCTGTATAGTTCAGTATAATTAAGAAAAATCGCTATTTTTGGTGTCTTTGAATGAAAGCCAAGTTAAATATAGCTATTAGCAATGCGAATTCGCTGTTAAAATATTTAACAATGAATAATGACATAATGAACACAAATCATTAGCTAACAAAGGCAACAAACATTAGTGCTTGGAACACAAGCAATAGTAGAATTTCGGCTCCGTTTGGATCAGACATATCATGAGTGATTTGTCTAAAATCATGTAAATAAATACATAATAAACAATCAATTTTGTCTAACAATGTGTTCTATATGACTCCTCTGATTCTACAGTTTACAAATTTTTCAAACATTATGTGTAATTTAAATTTAAAACAAATATATTATTTTTTCAAAATAACTTCTGATACAAGTTTAAGTTTGTACTAGGGTCTGATTGTCAGGTGAGAGAACAACATCTACCCTATTACGTCTTTCGGGAACATGCTGGTCTAACAGAGCTTAGGATTTCGGTCCCTGAGGCCCAAGGTTTAAATCCCGCCAATCACCAATGGATTTTGTCCAAGTGATAGTGCAGCGATCTTTATGCCTAGCCTGAAGTAATGTAAAAAGTAATCCAGGCTAGAACTTATTAAAAAAATATGTCTGTCCTAGGTGCACGAGTGGACGGTATCTAAGGACACGGTCAAGTCTAAGCTGGAGATAGACCCGGCCACTCAGATGGACGCTGGACTTTACGAGTGTTCCGCAGACAACATGTACAGCATCGACAGACGCAGCTTCAAAACTGACTTCAGCATTGCGTTCGACTGAAGTACACACACTCACAGACTTCACAACAGCATAAACAATGATTTAAATATACATAGTTATGTTATAGTTTGTAAGTTTTACTTAAGTGTAAACAATGCAAGGTTTAACGAGTGGAATAAAAATAATTTTGTAAGGATTTCCGTATTAAAGGTGAACTTGATTTAATTTCCATTTTTATGAACCCAAATGACAAATGTGCTACTCTGATGGCCAGTGGTACTGTCCTATATTGACCCAATGAAAGGCAATATGAATCCTTGAAAGGCCTGTAGCACTGGCTATGACTAAAAGACACATGATTTTTTAAAGAAAATGTTGTTAAGTCTGCTGAATGGTGATACCTAGAGAGCAACTTTGAAACTAAAATAGTTCCTAGGCAGGAAGAAGCCGAGCCTAAATGTAGAGAAAGGGTGCTAGCTACCCACAAGACAGAGATAGCTATGTCGAAACAATTATGTGTTATTTAAATCAAAGGTAAGTCTGGTACAACTGGCAGACTGAGCGCAAGTGTTTAGACATGACTGATGACGGATGTAAAGGATTTGCTTTAAAAAAGACAACTTCCATCTTATCCCAAAATTACCAGGAACACACTTAAACCCAACACCCTATCCACAAAATAACTTAAACCAAACTGAATGTATCTTTACATAGTAGTCATTAATCACTAACCTTCTGTCGTTGTTGACGATATCCATGTAGTCAAACGACCGAGCGTAGAAACCGTCTACAGAAAGGTCTCCCCAGAAGTTGGACCAAGCCTTGCCTGGCCTGACCAGCATTGGAGCAACTATAGTCCTGCAAGGAAACACACAATTTAATACACTTGCTTAGTAAACAAAAGTTTAGCTCTTTGACCTTCAGGGATTATTACTGATACTAATATTTTTATTTTAATATTTTAAGTCCGGAGGGATATGAGAAGGATGTCCGTTACAGAGGAGATGATGAAGGACCGAGAAAGATGGCGCAGAGCTGTTAGAGAGGCCAAAAACCTGCTTAGGTTTGAGTGGCCAGCTAGGTAAGCTAGGTAAGGTAATATTTTTATCATGATTTTTCCATCTTATTAAGAACAGAACAGAAAATCTAAATTAGTATAAAAAATTTTTTTTGTGGACAGATGTATAGTAAGGATTAGTAAAAGTAGCTTTTTGCCGTTTTAGCAGTAGACTTCAGTCTGCAAAGAACTACCCGGATCCCAATAACATGTATAACTACCCATCCCAATAACATCTATACGAGCCATACATTAATTTTTCTAGGTAGGTCTTTTCACTTGGCTCTTTAAGAGACAGGTGAATTCCTCGAGACCTGACCGAGACAATCCTTGACAAATCCTTTATCTACAATGCCGTTTCCTGGTTCAAGGAGACAATGCTGTAGACTGCTTGGCCATTGATTAGAATAACCGTCTACAGCACAACTATATCGGTAAACCCAGGCGTACCATGGTTATAAATTTTGCTACAATGATGGTTTATCTATCTTCACAGTTTAACATTGAAGTAAAATACTTTCATGTTTATTGTAATTGATTATCAAATGAAAAGTCAATGTTTGACACCCCAAACATTAAAGTTGATCAATAAATAACAGAAGAGGTGTGATCGCATAAAACTAAGCTAAGATGTACAATTGAACTCTGCTTAATTTTTTAAGTACTATCTTTGATACATTTTATGAAAGATTATTGCAGCGTATTGCACTGCACAGGGCCTCTATTTTACTAAATTACTGTTGTGTTTGTGGGTTAAATTGGACTTAGGAAGTGGACTGAAATAAATATTTTTACATCTTTAAAACACGGCTACAAACGGGTGGTTAAGGTTCGAATTCCGAAGGTAGACTGGGCTGTTGAAGGGACGGACGTACATGGACGGTGGTGTGATGTAGGTGGAGAGGGGATCAGGTGATGTTTGTAGCCAATGAGATTTATTGAAAATCATACAATTCACAGTGGCGTGATGTACAAGGAAATCATACAACGGATATTAATATTCTTAAGATATATTACAATTACCTGTTAAGTGAGATAAGCCCTTTGAGCGTGTTGGGGTTGTCCAAGCGAGCAATGCTGTCCAGGACCAGTAAATAGTCACAGTCTTTGGCAAAGCAGTACTCTCTGGAACAAGTTGTTATAATAACAATGGGCTGGAATTAAGGAATCAAAAGTGAGTAAGAATTATAACATAGAGAAGGCAGTATTTTTATTATGTTTTGGTAGCTTCAGTTAGTAAAAGCAAATTCACTGTCATGTTATAGCTACACAAGATACACTTTGGTGTGAAAAATAAATCCACCAAACCTTGTTGCAAGTGACAAAACAAATATTTTTTGAAAACATCAAAACTATCTGGCCACGCTAATGCTAACACAGCCAGTTTTCCACACATTTAATCGCCTGTAAGTGCTGCCAACCTATGTGTTTTGAAATATATCACACAGTAGAGAATGTCATTTGCATCGTTAAGCCTACAAAATCCCAACTTCATGAAATGCGTTGTTAGCAATGTTGTTCAGCGGTTGATGTTCAAATGTTAAAAAATTTTTACACCCATGATTATAGCACCAAAACTTTGTTTTGACGTTCTTTATTAATACAAATACCTCAGTTCGCAGTAGTTCCAAATTATTGACTTTGTGTTCCATGTTTTGCCTGTCACACCATTATCAAACACCATCCTTTAAGAAACATCATGTAACAAACTATTCCTGGCCAAAGTCTGGTGTTCCAGGATGTGAAGGTGAGATATAAAAAAAATCACTTTAATACAGATCACAAAATTAACATCAAGCCAAAACATGTGACAGAGAGACAACTTCTTGGAACTCCATGTAATTGTATATATTTATATTAACAAAGATTTAAAAAATTTCCATTTTAAACTATGCAAATTTTTTACACATTTGAGAACCATTTACAGTTTTAATTTTTTTCATACAAGATTCTCTTTTTAATTTTAGAAAGAATAAAGAATATCAATATCTCTTAACAATTCACCTGGCAAACATTTTAGCAACAGCTTCAGAGATTCCATCCTTAGGTTGCTGCAGTAGCTTCACTCCTCTGTACTGTTCCAGTGCATTGACATTGTCTACGAACTGTAGCACCTCCCTCTGATGGTATTCAACCTGACAAACATCTACAGTGAGGGGTGTGAGGTAAAGAGAATAGAAGAGCGCACAAATTTGGTGTTTGGAAATTGGCTAGTTATGAAATTCAACTACAGTAGAATACCCTCTAGTCAGACCTTTTTTGGTTAGACTGCCGGATGTTTCATCTGGTAAAAAAATATATCATTCATATGTGAATTTAATTCTATGACAAAAATCTACTTGTTTCTTTAGTTTAGAGTTGTAATTTCAGAAGATATCCAAGATAAATAACAGAAACAAAAAGATGGAACAGGGACTGAGTATTTTAGAGTAAATTGGCTCAAAAATATAAGTCTGTAAATGAACTGTTATTGAGACGATGAAATCATTAAAAGTACTGTTGGGTCCTTTAGCCAAGAGGTTCATCCTAAGCTAGCCGGCTATCTTTAAACAATAAAGAGTTTGATCAATAAAAGAAGCGACCATTTATAAGGTTGTAAGTTGAATATGAATTTAATAAAGATTGCCATAATATGGAATAAATTTTAAATAAATAAATGAAAAATTCCTTTATTTCAGAGTGTCTCTTAGTACAGATTAACTGTTTTATAGAGTAACTCAGGTCAATATACTTTATATCTATTACTGTTTAGAAAAATAAACCAAGCTACTGAACAATCTTTTACAAAACAATCCATTCAAATAAGACTGTTGGATCACATAAATTTAATAAAAAATATTCAAGTTATATAACAATAACAGGAATATTTTTAAAAGAATCCTTATTACTTTTGAGCTTGTCACATACTTTTTTACTGAGGTGACAAACAATATCACAAATATAACACCGTACTACAAGAAAAAAGGTAGCAGGTTAAAAAAAATTCATCCTAAGGGCATTTTAAATCTTAAGAATTATGCGTTTTGAAATTGTCGAGTTATATAAAATTGGTACTTACATTGTTAAAAAGGAAAAAGTGGATTTTGTTTTTCGGATAGTCCAACTGCAGAACAGAATCAAAGAACTCTCTCAGAAATGGAGTAGGAATTCCAACATACAAGGCAATTACAACCATTGGGTAGTCAGCCTCAGAGACCTGGAACAGATCATCTTATATCACTCACTAAGCTCTGTGTACCACCATTGGCCTTGGATACTGAAATGGACATCCCAAATATATGGATTTGGGAACTGATGACAGTTAATGTAAAATCAATCAGGCATCTGTATGGATTAGTAGTTTCTTTCATGTACAGAATTATTCAATATATCCACAGAGAAGTAAGGTACTGAGGAAACATGCCTATGGGGCAACCGTGAGCTTTGTTTTCAGCTCTGGTAGGTTATGAAATATACTTGTGACAAGAAAGGAAGAGCCCTAACGGCAAGGACTGTGCAGAAATTTCTATCTCACAGGGCACAGGGTCTTCCTCCACCAAGAGCGTTTTGTTTTAGTACATGAGGACGAGGACGGGGTGTTGGACTTAGCCCTAGACACCAGCACTAGTGCTAGACACCACTTAAGTGTACCACGGAATGTATCTTCTGTTCCTTACTTCTCTGTGATCTCTCATTGAGTATGTTACAACTGAAATTTTCTCTTTCCGATTTGTATACATTGACAAAAAGGGGATATAAAACATGCTACAGTTTACAACAAGTTTAGTTTAGTTTGACCTGATTGAAAAGTCTAAAAGGGACAAAAACCTGTTTTTAGAGCAATACACTTTGACAGTCGCTCAATTGGACTGTTTAAAATCGAAATTGTAAACCTCAACTTAATTCTAAAACACAGCTTTCATTTTTTATTTTAACGTTTTATAAATACAGTTGTCCCTTGAAAATCTAACACTTTGTAATCTAACGTTCTCGGTAGTCTGACAGTCTTTTCAGCGGAAACAAAACAAGCTTGCAGCAAAATAAATATTTAACTTCATCGTGTTGTTATACTGTAAGCAATTAATAGCTATTAAAACCGGCACTGCTTTAGAAATCAATTGTTATATTTCATCTTGATCAACTGCATTACGTAAAACGAA